ACAGGCCATGATTAATGTTGAACCCTGCACAAGTTTGCAGTTTTATTTACTCCATGTACACAAGTGAAAGGAAAAATAACAGTTCAAAAAATAAACTGGAATAACTCCTTTTGGAAAATGGTTGTCCCCAATATCAGAGGAACACTCAGAGAAACTCAGTCAGGTGTAACTAATCCCCTGTGTTCAGTTGGTTCAGTCAGGTGTAACTAATCCCCTGTGTTCAGTTGGTTCAGTCAGGTGTAACTAATCCCCTGTGTTCAGTTGGTCTAATCCCCTGTGTTCAGTTGGTTCCCCTGTGTTCAGTTGGTTCAGTCAGGTGTAACTAATCCCCTGTGTTCAGTTGGTTCAGTCAGGTGTAACTAATCCCCTGTGTTCAGTTGGTTCAGAATAAAAAGCTGTTCCTAGAGCATTCCAGTGCTTGGTAGTGCAACTGAAAGCGTACAGTCTACTACGGGTGCCAAATTACCTTCAAAAGATTTCAGGGATGAAGTTGTGGAAAGTCACAAGTCAGATGGGTGCATAAGGATTTAACTGTTCCAAGAACCACAGTTTAGTCTATAATTAAGAAGTGAAAGGTGTTTGGTACTACCAGGCTGCTCCTCCAAACTGGATAACCAAGTGAGGAGTAAACTGGTCAGAGAGGCTACCAAGAGGTAAATGACAACTATGAAGGAGTTGCAGGACTTCATGGACAGATTAGACCGAAATTGAACTCTTTGGCTTCAGTGCCAAATGGTACAAAGCCGTCCCTGGTAGGCTAGTGACTAAGGCACAGCGTGTGCGGCCCTGGTTCGAATCAGGGTTGCGTCAGGAAGGGCATCCGGCGTAAAACACGTGCCAAATGTCAACATGCGAGTCGTCAGTGTGATGAGTCGCTGTGGCGACCCCTAAACGGGAAAAGCCGAAAGTGACTGATGGTACAAATCACCATCTGAAGAACACCATACCTACAGTAAAGCATGGAGGTCGTAGCATTCTGTTACGGGTGTATTTTCTTTTGCAAGGACTGGGGTGTTTTATTGGGACAGGAGGGAAAATGGATAGGGTACCATAATTCTTGAGGAAAACTTGCTATCCTCTACCAGAAAGCCAAATATGGGAGATTCACCTTTCTGCATGATTGTGACTCGAAGCACACAGCCAAATTGTCCATGCAATGACTGAAGAAGAAAAAGGTGCATGTCCTTTCATGGCATCATCAGAACCTAGACTTGAACACTTTTGAAAATCTGAGGAATGTCCTAAAGACTGCAGTTAATCAGCATTTACCATCAAGTTTGCTTGAGATGAGCAGTTCTGCAAGAAAGAGTGGGCAACATTGCTCAGTCTAGGTGTGCAAAGTTGGTAGAGAAATATCCAGACAGACTCAGTCCTCAAGTTAAAGCAATCAGAATCAGCTTTATTGGCCAGGTGTGGCGGACACATGAGGAATTTGACTCTGGTACAGCGGCTCTCAATGTGCATGTACGTATCCCCATGCAAGGGGCAAGTAAACGGTAAACCAACATAAGGCTGTGTAATATAACAAAATTAACAGTATTAGCCATTCCTGGTAGGCTAGTGGTCAAGGCGCAGTGTTCTCGCCGCTGCGGCCCGGGTTCGTGTCAGGAAGGTCATCCGGCATAAAACACGTGCCAAATGTCAACATGTGAGTTGTCAGTGTGACGATTTGCTGTGGCAACCCCTAAACGGGAAAAGCCGAAAGTGACTTTCTTTCTAACAAGCAGTGCAAACAATGCAAAATAAATGGTATAAACGGACAGTAAACAATGCAGACAGACAAAGGAATGCTCACTGTGAAATGAGATAAAAATAAGAGACCTGTACGGATCTGTATATTTTGTACATATATACACTGCTCAAAGAAATAAAGGGAACACAAGGGAAAATAAGACATTCAACTATGTAATGAACAAGGTATTTAATAAGAATATTTCATTCATTCAGATCTAGGATGTCTTATGATGTTCCCTTTATTTTTTTTTTTAGCAGTATATTTACAGGTATTGCACTGAGGGTTATTGTCCAGTCATACTCAAGGGTTCATCAGAGTGATGGCAAGGGGAAAGAAACTGTCCTTATGCCTGGTTGTCTTGGTGTACAGTGACCTGTAGTGCCATCCAGAGGGAAGGAGTTCAAACAGGTTGTGTCTGTGGTGTGAGGGGTCTGCAGTGATCCTCTCTGCCCTCCTTTTGACCAGTGAGGTGTACAGGTCCTCCATGGAGGGCAGGCTTGCACCAATGATCTTTTCTGCAGTCCAGTCTGTCTGCTGGATTCTGTTCCTGTCCTGTTTGGTTGCTGAGCCAAACCAGACAGTGATGGAGGTGCAGAGAACAGACTCAATGATTCCTCTTTAGAACTGTATCAGCAGCTCCCGGGGCAGGTCGAACTTCCTGATCTGGTGCAGGAAGTACATCCTCTGCTGTGCCTTCTTGGTGATGATCCTGATGTTGGACATCCACTTCAGGTCCTGGGAGATGGTGGAGCCCAGGAACTTGTAGGACTTTACTGCTGATACAGCACTGCCAAGCATGGTGAGGGGGGGTAAGGTGGGAGGGCTCTTCCTGAAGTCCACTGTCATCTCCACTGTTTTGAGCGTATTCAGCTCCAGGTTGTTGC